AAGAATCAAACAACCTTGGTAAACACAAGCAGAGCTATGTTACTAAAGTTGGAGGAGAGAGAAACAAACAAATGTCATTACAGATGTTAATATGAGAAGTAACATCTACGACCAATCACTGAAGGGAAAATTCACATAACTACGAAAGGAAAGAAATTACCCATTACCTGGTCTAATAATTATTTATTCTCAAAATACACTCAGAGAGAAAAGCAGTAACCAAAGCAAAGGATTCATATTCCACACAAGGTTTCTCCCAATAATGAGACTTAATATATTTTCACAAGGGACTTAAATTCATTTAATGTTAAAATTAGCTGTAACTTTAATTTTCAAAGAAGTTATAACAGAACAGCACACTAACCTAGGATCATTCCTGTCTTGCTCATCAGGGTGGCACTTAAACATGACCTTGCTAGCCAAATGTGGCAAAGATTCACTTCTATTGTGGCAACCTAACCTTAGACATTAAATTTTAAACTACATTTAATTAATTTTAAGTTCAAGAACAGCATGTAACCATTGGCTGCCATACTAGACAAGGCAAGAGTAGACGTTGTACATATATATTTAAATAAAATGTTGAATGTCAAGTACTTTTAAAATATTGTTAGAGTTAAATATGATTAATAATAAATTTCACCATAAGTGCACTTATTCAACAGTAAATTTGAAATATAACCACTATAATAATAGCAACTTGCAATTTTTATTTGATGGTAGGGTACATTCTAATTTAGCAATTACAACTTTTAATGTGAGATTAAAACACAAATAATCATGTAAATTTTTTAAAAATTATTTCATAGAATCCATTTCAATGCTTCTAGACAAGCCTAGTTTATTATTTCAGAGTCATCAGTCCTGTCGTTCATTTAGGCCAAATCAGTCTAGAAATCTCCAGTGAACGGTGCACGCTGATCTCCATCCTCTCTAACTGCAAAGCCCTTCAAAGTTATTCATTCTGCAGAATGTAAAATTGCTTCCCTTTACAGCACTATTTACTTGCTGTTTTGATTCTCAAGCCTGAACTAGCTCACCACAGGCTCAGTGAAAGGATAAATAAAGAACTATTAGCTTCTTTGTAAAATACCAACTTATTAAAGAGCAGTGTGCAAAATTATATTTCACTTTAATTCATACCTTATTAACATACTTTATTTGGTTGTTCCTGACTGGATTTTTTTAAATGTGTATAGATAGTGGTGTGTGAGTGTGTGTGTGCAAGAGAATATCTATGTATGTGTATATGTATGCATGAAAAAGAGTGTGTATGTCTGCACATGTCTATCTGTCTCTCTATTGTATGTGTTTGTGAGAAAATATTTATCTGTGCCGTGTGTGCATGTGCCTGTGTGTGTATGTTTGTGTATATGTGTTGTATATGTGTGTGTTTCTGTGTCTGTGGTAGAAGAGAGTGTGCTGGTGGCACATCCCTGTGTGCTCATACAGAGACCAGAACAGTGCAAGGCTTTGAGGGTCTTCTGTCATTCTCTGATTTAATACCTTGAGAGAGAGTCTACACTGAACAGGAAGCTTTGCATTTTCTAATGGATGGTTGACTCAGAACTCAGAGGATTTGCCTATCTGCACTTACCACTTCCTCCCCCTCGCACCCCCCAAGCCTATCTAGGAGTAATGCCCAGTCTTCTGCTGAGTGGTGGGGACTCAAACTCATCTTTTGTGAATTGAGCAAGTGTTCATGCACTAACCCACCTCATACTCTGCTGAGGTGAATTGAAAGAAAGAAAGAGACAGAAGGAAGGAAGGAAGGAAGGAAGGAAGGAAGGAAGGAAGGAAGGAAGGAAGGAAGGAAGGAAGGAAGGAAGGAAAAGGGAGAAAGAAAAACTAAAGATTCTTTGGCTATTAGCAACCACTGATTCACAAACTTTAAAACATTTGAGAACTTTTGTAGGGGTTCTGTAAAGAAGATAATTCTCCTTCAGAATTATGGTTAAACTATTTCATTTTTTTGCACATTCATTGGCTTTTAATCTGAGTCCACACACATATGCAAAAAATACAAGTTTTTACTTATTTAAATTCTCTATATTTATTCAAAGCAGTCACGGTCAGGACTTTAACACAAGATTAACGTGCATGGCATTTGAGCATTCATTTGGTCAATGCACACTTGCTAGCATGCCCACTGGGACAGGATTAATTGATCTAAGCAAGTGAGAGTCAGCACAAAATGCTTTTATATCACTCAGCCAGTGAATGAATGAGCTCCTCTTTGCAGACCCTTCTCTGTAGCTGCCTTACTCCGTAAACATGGGCACAAGTTTGCTCACCAGTTAAAATTGAGTTGTTTTTAATTTATGTTTTTTAATTATTTTACTACTTATTTTAGCTATCATGACCTGATACTATATTGTTTATGCTTTTCTGCTTTTTTATTTGCCTCAAATTTATACTTTCATTTTAATAATTTCTTAACTCATGTACTATATAACAAATATTTGTTTTCATTATACTTTCCTACTACTATGGGGGCATTGTAGTTTTTTCTGGTTCTGGTCACCTGCACTTATATAGTGCCAGAATGTTAATTCTCCCAACTGAATTTTGATATTGAAAACTTCCTTTTCAGTACAGTTTGTACCACTGTGGTGTAAGTTACACATCTAAATGACTGATCCCTAAACATTATCCGCTCTTTGGCCTGTGCTTGTTTTGTTCAACATTTGATTCTAAAGGTAGAAAAAATTCATACTCCATTCCACCAATTTCCACTTAATAAAGCCATTATTTCTCTTTTCTTTTGTTTTCTTTTTCTTTGCTTTCTTTTCTTTTCTCTGAAAGAAAAAAACATAACTAATGGCTTAAGATTTAATAGCATGGCGTTCGATTGAATGGCATTTCAAGTGTGCATTGCACAATCTTGGAAGTAGGGAGATGTGCTACCCTAGGGCCTGGAGAGCCATGTTAGTCGCAGGTCTGTGAAGACTCCACTCTGTCCTCCTTTTACACGCTTGCTTCTAAATCTCTGGGCAGATGATTCCTAAAGGGATTGAGGAAATGAAGCAAATTGAGACTAGGAAGTTCGATGAGAAAGAAGAGGGGGAAAGTATTATATCCCCCTCCTGCCAGCCTTTGGTCTGATCTTCTTTACACATGGGAAAGTAACAGCTGAAATGTGACCCTTAGGCTCACCTTTAGGCTTGAGCAATGTCCGGAAACTTGTGCTAAGTAGAGATGGAATTAGAAAGAAGCACATAAGATAAAGTAAACACACTTCATCATCATCCATATTTCTGCTGTTTTAGCTAACATTTGACTGATGTTTCATAGAATTACAATAGAATTAGAAAAAGGGTTTGTAGCTAAGACATGATCTTCTCTATGCTTTGTTTGCTACTCTCACTAGCTAAGTCTGTTACTACATCTTTGAGTGGGAAGCTTGTTACTGCTGTAATAGTATCCTGTTTTTCCTTAACTTTTTGTTTACTTTCCCTGAATCTTCATGCTGAGAATGAATGAATCTTGTGGTGTGCATAGCCTACTGTTTACTTTGAAGAGTACTGGGTAGCCTGTGCTGAGGGCTGGGACCAATTTGGATTAGAAAACAAATAAGATATAATCATTTGAAACCTGTCATTAAACATGGACAACAGAAATAAGAAAATGACAGCAAAGCATATGTTTGACCGTTCAATGGACTAAGATATTATTAAATGCAAGGATAGGACAATGGAGGCAATTACCATTATATTCTTTTATGAATATTTGCTTTTAAGACTGGCTATCAAAGAAGCAGAATCCAGCGAATCCAGCTGAGGGAGGATGTGGAGAGGGATAGGATTCTTAGAGGTTCTGTATGACCACACTGGCCCTACTAAAGAACCTGTATTGGCTCAGGGACACCAACACCAAGTTCTTGGCACAAAGAAGATTCATGTGCACAAAAGGGATAGAAGGCAGAGATTAAGAGACAAAGACAGGAGACAGAGGACTAGGGAGAAGAAAAGGGAACAAGAGAGAGGGGTAAGGGGTATTTGTCCCCAGAGAAAAACAAAGGACTGCCACTGGATAGAGGGAAGACAGCTATGCCATAGGAAAATGGCAGTTTATAAAGAAAAGGGAAACCCTATGTTAGGATGAGTGCCATTCATTTTAGTTGAGCATGTTAATTAGGTGAGCCAACAGAGGCTTTGAATTGCTGACCTCAATACTTGGATCTCGGTAGTCAGCCTCAGGAGGAGGAAGTGCTAACATAAGGGAATAGACCTTGGTGTCTAGCTTTAGGAATATAATTTAAGGGTTTTTAGCAATGCAGAGAGAATGGGAGAGAAGAGCAAGGCCTGCCAGAGCCATGGCCATCATGCTCTTGCTGACCAGAGTCTCTTCACCCACCTGATGGAGATCAGAATTCCTTAAACCAACAGTTCAACATTTGCACACTGCATCGTATCACCAGGACATCTTAATCTCTTTTTTCTCCAGGTGTTACTCTCTGAAGGTTGATTCTATTTTATTTTCTAATTTATAACAGTCTTTCACTGATGAGTTTTATTGTCATTCTTAAGTTTTTCAAAAGTTATAAGAAAGTAATTGAAGTAATAAACATTTATTTTAACATTATTTGGCTTATTTTCTTGAAGACATATGAGCTAAATACATTTCTGAAACCATATGAAAGCTTCTAGGTTTGGCAGGGTCAACCAGTGAATAAATTCCTAATGGCTTGTGTTTAACAGAGTTGTCTCTGAATTACGGCAGAAGCAATCATTTGGAAGTTGGCATCAACCAGCAGGTCACCAAACAAAATGATTCTCATTTATTTTAGGCTTGTTGAATTCATTTCCTCTCAATAGTTGGGGCACTAGGCAATCAAGGGAACCAGGGTACTGGGATAGAAAACGGTTTATCAGTCCATACACCCTATCAATAACTAACTCCCAGGGCTTCCCACTCGTCTCCACTGCCTGAGGTTTTCAATGTAAAATGTGACATGAACAATGGAGTGATATGGTAGAAATCAGCTGATATGATGGATCATTTCCAAACTTTGCTGTGAAGACCTAGGAACCTTCATCCTAATATTTGTATTTTAAACCTTTGTTTTTTTTTTTTACTTCTTGGAACTAAATTGTGCAAAACACATGAGAAAGAAATATATTAAGGACTTATTCAATTTAGATGGAGGAAAATAATGAGCAGACATTATCTTTTTTCTCAAAAGTTAAAGACTAAAGAAGATGCTATGACTCCTTATATCAAGGAAACATACCAAGAAATCATGTTTTTCTAAAATGACGAAGGAAGCTTGCCTTCCTCAGTTGTTACTCGTTAAGGAGAATATGCATGCTTCCATCAATTATACAAGAAGAAATTAATCTGATTATTGATTATTTTCCAATCTCATTAACATGAACAGCAAGTGACAGAATGAACAGAAAATTACATGCTTCCTTACCTAAGACAGCTTCAAGTTAAAGCCCATCCAACGAAGAGACTGATAATTACAAAACTAAACCCCTATATCAAGTACATATAGAACCAGAAATGTTGTTATCATTGATGTGGAAAGTGTAGGTTGAGATTTAAAATACTTCCCTGAGGTAGCAAGCCTCCAGCTAACTGTAACATACACACACACACACACACACACACACACACACACACACACACCTTTAGTGGTTTCATGATAGATTTCCATATTTTGAAGGATTTGATACATGAAATCCTACATTAAAGCTGAAGTGACTCAGGAATGGGTAGCACTACTATGTTTATTATTAAAATACTCTTGTTGAAAAGTGGGGAAGTAGTCAGAGCTCATTTTCTTTCACTTGTTATTTTTATAGATGTTCGAAGAAGAACAATTTATGAATATCACCGAGTAGAACTACAAATGTCAAAAATTACCAACATTTCAGCTGTGGAGATGACCCCACTCCCCAGTAAGTTATTTAAGATAGTGAAGTGGGGGAAAACATCAAGTTTGACAGTAAGTTGGCTTATAATTATTGTGTTCAGTATGTAATTTTAATTGTGCTTGTCAAGCATACGTATTTTGACCTTGGTGTGTACAGGGATGGGTGTACTTTTGGATAAGTAGCCTCTCTCCCTCCACACTGTCAACTAGTCTTGATGAGTCTATTCTCTCCTGTTTCTTAGCATGTCTGCAGTTCAATGGCTGTGGTCCTTGTGTATCCTCTCAGATTGGCTTCAACTGCAGTTGGTGTAGTAAACTTCAAAGGTAAAAGAATAATTTATAAACGTGATTTTTATTTTTTAAAAAATCTTGTTGCCTATACCTACCGAGTTACAAATTTTATCATGTGTATGGATCATATATGTATTGAGTGTATAGGTGTGAAAATATGTGTGTGCATGTTCGTATATGTTGTATATGAACTTAGAACATATACACATAGTTGGACAGACAAAAGTGCAAATCCAATTGTGTTTAGAAAAGGAAATTTCAATATATTTCTTTGTCAAATTCTTAAAATGACTAAGAACCTCCATCGTCTATAAGGCCAAAATCTAACATAGATTTATAATTCCCTGTAGGGTCTTTTGAATGGATAATTTCAGCCCCTATTTTACAGAAAGCATGGCATGAGATATGTTTTCCACAGCTGGAACGTATTTCAGTAATCACATGCACATTATTAAAATAATTCCTATCCAGTAGCTGAAAAGTCCTTCCTCAAGGTTGCTGATGGAGGCTAAAGTTGACATTGCCTGACCTTGCTATGATTAGAACCTGTATATGGCGGTAACCTTGTGCTCTAATTGACTTAAAAACTTACTTTTACTGGTGTCAAAAATATTTACTGGCTATCTCCAGTGGTAAAAGAGATTGTTCAGTCACAGGACTTTTACAGAAACTGAGCAGGGTGAGAGATATAGGGTGAGGCTGGAGAGCAGATTGCTGTTCCTCGAAATGATGGCTGGACATACTTCCACCAAAATCTTATATGAATTAGTGACACTGAGCTGACTCAAGGAGAAATCAGTTCAATGAATACCTCCTGGTTCTGGAACAAAGCAGAATGCATTAGGTTTCTCTAGAAGAAGAGGGTGGATTGAATTGTTTGATATCATAAAAAAGAATAAATTAGATTGGCTTACACAGTATAGCTCTAGGTAGCTCAGCTATGGCTGTCTAAATGCTGAAAGATCTGAGGCCAGTTGTTGTCTTGACCCCAAAACAGAATGCCCAGTAGTCCCAGTGTGATTTTGAAGGTTGGAAAGTTTCTGAAAAGCAGTTGCCCTTTATTTATGATGGAAGGCCAAAGAAGCTTGGGTTAGGTGGTGACATCAGGAATAACACTGGGATCTATACCTCACCACAAAACCTGAAAGGAAACACCCCTCTGTTTTCTCGCCAGCCCAGAGGCATGTCTGTTTGTTGGTTCTAGACCCAATGAAATTGGCAATCAAGAGTGCCTATCCCAGGGAGCATAGCTCTAAAATGTGGAACACTCTTAAGAAGTCACTCTGCCAGTGACTGTCATTTGCTGAACCACTGTGCACATCGTGTACATGCAAGGTGCCTGCAGCACTGCAGTGAAGAACAGGAGCAGGATTCTTGCACCCAGGTGGAGTTACAGCCTCAAGCATCCAGAGTCTATGGAAAGACATCTTTTCCCTCCAGCTGGTGTTCCTCGGTGGCTTGTTACCATAGAGGACAGATGCCGGCTCCCTGGCTCCCTGCTGCAGCACTTCTGTCTTGCTAAGGGCACGCTAAGGGACTTCTTCAATGTTGTTGAAGGTGTAAAGAGAGAACGCAAAAATTTTCATGACAATCTTAGGAAACATTTCGAACTGGCTAACTTTGGAGTAACCACTGCGGTACTGCAGCTGGAACTAGCTTGTTTATTGAGAACCAGAGTTTTGTTCTCAACTGAACATGCTGTGCCAGCCACTTCCTTTGGGAAATGAATTTCAAACAATGAAAAAGCAAGCAGGCCATTAGCATTTTTCAAATCATATTTTAAGTGAGTTCCTTATTCAGAGTGCTGTAAATCAAGGAATGGTGGTTATATGTGTATTTTGATAAGATTTTGTAACAATCACATGCATATCAGAAGTCATTAAAATCTGTTTAGATACTGAAATCTGAAATGAAAAGTGCTCAAAGCAATTTAGTGAGAGATACTGATCAGCCACCTTCAGAGCACAAGATCAAGTTTGTTGAATATCATTCTGAGCCATCACGATTAGAGTAAGGCTTTTTTTTTCATTTTTTTCATATTCTTTGCAGGGGTGTTAAAGGCAATGACCATTTATAATATTTTCCTTTACCTTCATTGCCTAGGAATACCCTGATATTATATTATCTAATTGATAAATTATGATTAGTTTCTGGGTGACTAAATCATGTATAGGCTTTTCTGGGATTAAAGAGTATTCGGGATAAGAGACTGTCAAGTGCTGAAGCCAGAAGATCTGATGGAAACCAGCACAAGTTGATGGCTCTTATCAGTATATGATAGGGTTTTTTTTCGTTTGTTATTTGAAATAGGGTCTCGCTCTGTAATCCAGGGTAGCCTAGAATACTCCATCCTTCTGCCTCAGCTTTCTAGATACTAGGATGACAGGCACGGACCATTTCTGGATAATTAGAATTTCTGCCTCAAACAATATCCAAGTAAATGAAGGTTTTTGAAGACTCATCTAGAAGCATACCTAATATTAACCACTTTTTTACAATGCAGAAATGCATGTTCTGACTTTGCAAAAAAGCAATATTTCAGTCAAACCATATGCACATGTTGAAATATGCTTCTACTCTTAGCGTTTATAAAGAGATTTCTCAGCCAGGTAGGATGCATGCTGAAGAGTTTATAAATTATATTAAGAGAATATTTGCAGCAGAGGAAGCTAGGGTCCTTGGGTTAAGTACTTCCTCAGGGTTTCTAGCTTTCTGATAAGTTTGGAACCTGAATTTGAATCTGTGTGACTTCCAGCTTTGGGTCTGGCTAATATATCAACTCTGCTTTGTACATCACAGGTGGGTGTGCTACGCAAGCTAATTTTAAACGGGTGCATAGTTGATGCTGCAAGAAAAAAAAAGATTTTTCAAAATGGTATACCAAAGCATAGAGGAGAGTCACAATATTCCAAAACCTCCTACATATTGATGACAGCATTGTAAATGTGAAGTATGATTCAGGGTATTCTTCGCTGACAAGCATGTGTTTTTGCATGTTATTATCTTTTGCTCTGTTGATTATGGAGCACAGATTTAAAATATCAGATTCAGTTTCAATTTTGGGAAATCCATAACAAAATTTGTTTCATGAATTGGTTTAACTATGGTTCATTGTACTTTTATTTGAGTTAATCTCCCCATTACATTTTATTATTTTCTCCTTAGACCTGTAAAGTTCCAAACATTGCTTTACTGCTCAGCATTATTTTCCCAGACTTTAGTGTTTGTATGAAAAGAAAATCACAAAATAAGAGACATGTTAGATTAAGTAACACAAATAGCACCCTGATTTTTTTAAACCCACCATTCCTTCTTGCATGTACTCATTTAGCCTAGACTAATAAACAGCTGCGAGTAATTACTCAACTCTCAAATTGAGTTTGCTAATAAAAAGGAGAGAAAGATAATTTTAATTGATTTGTTTATTTTCATCAATTCCCATTTTGAGGGAGCAAAAACTAAGACAAAATGTGTACCATGACTGGCCCAGGGTCTAAGAGTATTTGTATTACAAGTATACATAAGAAGTTTCATGATTGAAAAGATGTAATGAAAACACTTGGCCCTCGGTTTCTAGGTAAATTCCTTCTTATTTCCTCTCTGTGAATTGACAGAACTTGAATTAATCTTTTTTTTTTCTTTACTTAAGTTATGTTTTTTTTTTTCTTTTTTTTACGTTCCGACTGAATCTTCCCCTCCCTTCCTGCCATTCCCTCCCCTACCCAATTCGACTCCTCCTCTGCTTCTGTTCAGAACCATGCAGGCTTCCCATGGGTAATGAACTTGCTTTGACAGGAGCCAGCTGCAGCACCAAGGCCAAGTGTACCTCATAGAAAATGCTCTTGCAAGGGTCTACACTGGCTTCAAACCTGATTGTTGAGGAAATGAAGCCAAATGAGGGGCAACATTATGAGCTGGTTATGGAGAGAAAGTAGTCACAGAATATTAGAGAGGGCTTGGTATAGTGGTGGTTGTACCTCAGGCTAACAAAAATCCTTTGAGTTTTAAAAGTTAAGGAAAAGGAGAGGAGTGGTTTTATTATGGTTTATAAATATAGCTCTGGAAGTTCAAATAAAACATTTTCTCAGTTGTTTGTAGAGTGAGTTATGCTGAAAAGAAAGAGGCAGAGCTTACAAACCTTCTGAGAGAAAATCTAGCAACAATATCTGTCACTGAAGAGGCTCTCCTGTAGAGGGGAGCCATTATCGTGTATGGATGTTTTTATTTGGATTCATGAGTTGAACTCTTGCTATTTGTAATTGAGGGCAAGAGGAAACAGTAAAGAATAACTCTGCTAATGTGAGCCTCTTTGCGGAGCACGACCTGCTGGTTGCAGGGTCCCCCACAGTGCCGCACACACTCAAGTCTGATGCAGACGCCCATGCATATGGGTAGACTGAATCATTAAGATGATTTAGCTATGTATTCACTGGAGTATTATATACAACAAAGCATTTAAAGAAACACCAGTCACAATGTCCCATTGTAAGCTTTGCTTGGTCGACATGAACACAAAGGAAAGAACTGATGTCTCTTTTTATTGAAGGCATCAAAGACACATGAAGCTTAAATGACATGTAGACAACAATGTGTAAGTTCCTCATATGACTACAATTAGAGACCGCAGGAGACACAGTACAGACCGAAATTGTAGTGTATTCACTATGAAATGCACTGGCCTTTATAATACATCAGAGGGTACCTGTTAATCCAGGCAAATTTCAGGGGCAGCCCAGAAGGGAGCACTTCAGAGTTCTCCAAAAGAGTAAAAAATACCCGTCGCACTGCTGGAATGGGGCCGTGTAGTGTGGCCTTGAAGAAGTTAGACTGTCAGGATGGGTGCATAGTGACACAGACAATTAACAATTATGGACAAAGCAGTAAAGCTTTTTAATCTTCAGTCAAAAAGGTAAAATTAATGTGTCACCAAGATTATGTTTGATACTAGTATGCATTAAATCCAGATGACCCCAATTTTCAGCCTTTATCAACTGAGTGTTAGAGAAGCATAGCTACAGGAGGCTGTTGAAATG